TTGGAAAGGCCCGGAGGGCCGTGGAAATGTCTTTGTTGCTCGGCCTGTGTTTCTCTCAACCAACTGGCGCGTCGCAACTGCCTGGACCCCAAATATGAAATTGACAGTCGAGGGCCTCTTGCAAAAAGCCAGGCCCGCCTTCACTTAGGGCGGGCACCTCCGCCTTCACTCAGGGCGGGTAATGCTGCAAACAGGGCCCCATAGGCCTACCGAGGACCCTGATCCTCGCATTCCCTCCTTTACTTCGTGAGTCCTCTGAGAAGTCTCTTATTCTGCAGGCATCTTCCCCTTGAGTGCTCTTTCATAGCCTGCGATCACTTGAGGTGCTGTTCTCATGAGTTCTTCTCGTGTGAACCACCGGTCTTCTTTAGGATCCAGATGATGTCTGAAGCTCACATGATACTGCATTCTCGGTTTAGGAGGTCGCCCTCTGCCTGATGGTCGAGGAACAGGCATCACTCGATGCTCAAAGATCTGGTCAGTGTCCACTTCGCCATCCATGGTTGGGGGCAGCATTGATCTTGTGGAAGGGAACTGCTCAGTAGCAGCAAAGGGTGCTAACTTAGAGGCATGGAACACAGGGTAGGTACGCAAGTGAGGTGGGATGCGAATTACATACGAAGGACCGTCTGGTTGATCTCCTACAATGTCTAAGATCTCCCAGGGCCCAAAGTACTTTGGCATTAGCTTGCGGGATATGCCTAACTCCTGACCAAGCTCAGCGGACTTGATCCAGACTCTCTCGCCTACCTGAAAGTTTGAAGGCCGTCTATACTTATTCTCAGATGCAATCATTGCTTCCTGAGATTTCCTGATATGTCCCATGGCCTGCTGCAGCATCTGTTCATACTTGACAGCAAACTCTATGCTGCCGGGTGCTGCGGTGGATTCTCTTTCTGGTACCAGAAAGTCAAGGGCAGTTCGTGGCTTCCAACCAAGATGCAGTTGGTTGGGAGTCATGCCTGTAGTACTACACACAGCGTTATTGGACGAGAGGTAGTTTCTCGTCCCAGTCGTCCTGACTTGGCTTAATATAGTGCCTAAGTAGGTACTGTACTACTCGGTTCATCTGTTCCGCTTGACCATTTGACTCAGGATGATTCCCTGAAGTCATTTGGAGTTTTGTGCCCATTTGCTCAGTAGTAGATTGCCACAGTTCGCTCGTGAATCTTACATCCCTATCACTAACAATAGACGTAGGTAGACCGAAATCTCTTACCCAGTTGTCCATGAAAAGTTTGATGACGAAGTCAGTTCTAGCAGTTTCAGGCATAGCAATCAGTCTGGTGTACTTGGTAAAACGGTCCACTATGACAAAGATGTGTCTCTTTCCTGACCTGCTGGTCACAAGGGTATCCATGAAGTCCATGGACACACTCTGGCCTGGTCCTTCAGGGATCGGCAAGGGTTTGATTAACCCAAGCGGAGCCTGCGTCCTTGGTTTGTCCCTTTGACAAGGACAAACCTGACAGGTTTCAACATAACGTTTTGCATCTTCCAACATAGAAGGCCACCAAAATCTCTGCACTAAGTTCGCTGATGTCTTTCTATAGCCAAAATGACCGGTTGCATCATGACATTCTCCTAAAAATAAACTACGCAAAGACTCACTATTAGCTACACATAATCTTTTATTCCCTGCCTTCTCAAGGAACAGTAAGCCATCTACCATCGTAAATTCATCCAAAGTCTTTTTGTCCTTTGCTTGGAATCTACGGATGATTTCTGACATGACTAGGTCTCCCTGATAGGCTTTCACCAACGATCGAGTGAGTTCGACAGATATGCCAAACTCAGTGACTAGCGCGCCCATATAATCTGCCCTTCATGATAGTGCATCAACCACTTTGTTATACGTACCCTTGATAGGATCAAGTTGATAGTCATACATATCTATCACTTGAATCCATCTCTTGAGTGTGTCCGACAAGACTGGTTGTGTCTTGATCCAGCGCAAAGTCTCATGGTCAGATCTCACGTAGAAGAACCTTCCTAGGAGGTAATGTCTCCAATGAACTAGCGCTCGGTACAGGGCATAGAGCTCTCTTTCATAAGTGGACTTAGCCAACTTTTGAGATGGCATCTTCTTGCTCATATACTCGATCGGTCTCAACTTGGGCCCTTCCTGTTGCGCAAGGACCGCGCCTATGCCATATTGGCTAGCGTCTGTGGTCACAACAAACGGCTTGTCAGGATCAGGAAGTTTGAGAACTTCGTAGTGTGTCAGAGCATACTTCAATTTCTTGAAGCTTGCTTCACACTCCTCAATCCACTCCCAAGGGGTGTCAAGTCGAGTTAGATCTGTCAATGGGGAAGCTGTAGTACTATAGTTTTTCACAAACAGACGATAGTAGCCCGTCATCCCCAAAAACGATCTGACCTCAGTAACAGTTTGAGGTCTGGGCCAGTCACGTATGCTGGCCACTTTCCCATCTTCCGGCCTCAATCCATCTGCTGAAATTTCATGACCCAAGTACAAGATCTTGGTGCGACCAAACTCGCATTTATCCAAGTTTACCTTGTATTGGTGCTGTCTTAGGAGACCTAGCACTATTTTCAAGTGCTCAGCGTGCTCCTCTACAGTCCTACTAAAGATAAGAATATCGTTGAGGTACACGACGATAAACTTGTCCAAGTACTCATGAAATATGCTGTTCATCGCATGCTGAAATGTACCAGGCGCATTGCATAGGCCAAAAGGCATCACCACAAACTCGTACAGACCGTACCTGGTCTGGAATGCAGTTTTGTGCTGGTCCTCAGGTCTAACGGCAATTTGATGGTATCCGGACTTCAGATCTATCTTTGTGAAGTACCGGCATCCCTGCACCCTATCCAAGAGGTCGTCGATGCGGGGTAGGGGCTCCACGTTCTTAACGGTGATGGCATTGAGGCCCCTATAGTCAATGCACATCCTTAATGGACCTCCCTTCTTTGGGACAAATAAGACTGGCGCACCGTAAGGGGAGGTACTAGGCCGTATCCATCCCTTCTCTGTGAGCTCCTTGAGCTGGTGGAGAAGCTCATCTAACTCCGCGGGAGACATCCTATAGATTCGTCCTCTAGGCACCTTGCTACCTGGGACAATCTCTATCGCATGTACAACCTTCCTTTCCACCACGCCTGTGGGCTCCTCACAAAGGTCGGAATATTGTGCGACGACTCTTTCTATCTCTGGGGGTGATTTAACGGCCTCACCTTTCTCAGAGATAAAGACTAAATACATGCCCTCCTCTCGATTCTACTTATAGTAGTTATAAAAGGATGAAGCGCACATACACCCGTAGTTTTCTATTAGACTGCTAGCTTTATACTTTTGCAATCTAACAGTTCTACCATTGGGCAATTTGTGGATCAACACCTTTCTATCCCAGTCAAACTGAGGTTGCGAGACTTCGAGGTAGTACATGCCTAGTAGCATATCGAATGGCAGTTCGTCGCTCACCAGGAAGGAGATCTTGTGGATCACTTCCCCTCCTCYATAGGAGAAGGTGCAGGCTACGTCCTTGACATAGTCTTTGACAACCATTTGGTGCTTGTTGGCTAGCGTAGAAGCTACATTTCTGCTAAGCCGCTGCATTTGGTCCCCTAAGCGCAGTTTATCCACACAAGCACGCCTGATGAAATTTCGTGTAGAGCCTATGTCTGCGAAGGCGCCAACCTTGCGGCCACCTACATCTACTTCTACCACGAAATGTTCACCCTTTAGACCTCTACTGATCATCGCCCAAGAGTCCCTGGGGTCCTTCCCTGACCAGTTTGTCTCTAACTCTTCTAGGGCCTCAGACACATCTCTCGAACAGAGCGTCGATGGGTCTGAATGTGTCTGCGGGGCGATGTGTGGGTCTCTAGCCTTGGCCAACGCCTGAAGTGGGGAAGGCAACGTTACCACTTCAGCACGAGTAAGAGCGGCTAACAATCCTACTGGCCCGAGGTGTTTCCCTGTGAGCTGCTCGCAGAAGCACTCCCAGGATTCGAAGATAAGCCCACCACTATTGGTGAGGCTACCTTCGTTGTGACCTTTTTGCCGCGGCAAGTCCTGGACGTGTGGCCATAGTTGCCACAGTTCATGCATGTGCCCCTGGCAACTCGGTCCCTCCACACCTCGTAATCTAAAC